CCCCCGCCCCCAGCCGCCTCCCGGCGAGAAGCTAGGCTGCTGGCGCCACGTAGTCTGCAGGTGCACTGGGACCGCTTTTGTACCGTCCGCAAAAAGGTGTGTTGAAAAAAAAAGTAGAATCGTACATGCCGGCTGGGCGGTGCGACCTACCTTCTTTCGCCGGTGCAGGAGGTCCTCCTCGAATGCTTCGGTGGCCATGCCTTCGCTGCAGCGCTAGACCGCTTCCGTCCAGCCTCGGCCGAGGCAGCCCCGATCAGTGACCCTCCGCTTGCAGGGTGCTCAACAGCAAAGCACAGCGCCAGCTTCCGCGCCCGCAGAACAACCAGCAGCAAACGAGGATGTCTTTGTGGCCGCCGCTGCACAGCGCGCACGCCAAACATCCGCTCCCAGCCGGGCCGTCGCGGACGTGGGCGCGGCAGAGGCACCGCAGCCCGCCGCGATGACCTTCTGCTGCCGGACCCGCTGCCGCCCCCCCACCCAGCGCGGGCAAGCCAATGCAACTGCTGAAGCAGGCATGCGGCACGGCCTCGCGTCCCTAGATGCAGTCAATCTCCAAGCGAGCTGCCGTCAACGAGTCCTCACGCTGCAATCCGCCCCTGCGCGCATCCGCGGAGCATTGCGCACAGCACTGCGCACCGGCCTACGGCTCGTTGTCCACCCAGTCGCTCCCAAAGATGCTGCGCGGGGTTGGAAGCTTTTCTGCCTCGCCCCCCGCATGCTCCTGTTCCGGTTGCAGGGTGAATCGCGCATCCCATCGGCAGAACTAGACAGGCGGTGCGAACTCTTCCGCGCCGGACACTGGTCAAGTACCCGGCCCGCCCCAAAGTGACCCTTCTGATGCACAGCGCCGCCGCAGGGCACCCCTTGCCCGACAGTGTCCCTCCAACATGTGCCCGCAGAGCCATGCCCGCCGCCCTTGCAAGATTTCCCCCCGGCCGTGCAGGCGACTCGCGGGCACGAGCCATGGCCAGTTGCCGCAACGGCCTTTCGGTTAAACCTGCCCCCAACTTCAACGCCCAGCACAACCAGCTTACAGCGGCGGGCGACTGCCAGCTCCGGGTAGGTGCGCTGGCGTTTGCGTTTCGCCGCCTGCTCAAGCACCGTGCCTGGGACACGATCGGCGTGCGGCTGTATCAGTGCCTCCGCTTGCAGGGCGCTCAACAGCACAGCGAATGCGAGAAGGCGTCGAGACGGCGTATACGTTGACCCCGCACCGACAGCGCCAGCTTCCCCGCCCGCAGAACAACCAGCAGCAAACGAGGATGTGTTTGTGGCCGCCGCTGCACAGCGCGCACGCCAAACATCCGCTCCCAGCCGGGGCAGTGGACGGGGCCGTCGCGGAGTCGCGGACGTGGGCGCGGCAGAGGCACCGCAGCCCGCCCCGATGACCTTTCTGTCGGACCCGCTGCCGCCCCCCCACCCAGCGCGGGCAAGCCAATGCAACTGCTGAAGCAGGCATGCGGCACAGCCTCGCGTCCCTAGATGCAGTCAATCTCCAAGCGAGCTGCCGTCAACGAGTCCTCACGCTGCAATCCGCCCCTGCGCGCATCCGCGGAGCATTGCGCACAGCACTGCGCACCGGCCTACGGCTCGCTGTCCACCCAGTCGCTCCCAAAGATGCTGCGCGGGGTTGGAAGCTTTTCTGCCTCGCCCCCCGCATGCTCCTGTTCCGGTTGCAGGGTGAATCGCGCATCCCATCGGCAGAACTAGACAGGCGGTGCGAACTCTTCCGCGCCGGACACTGGTCAGACCTCCTCCGCCAATCCGCTGCCGCGGCGGCGACAGTACCCGCCCGCCCCGAAGTGACCCTTCTGATGCACAGCGGGCGCGCCGTGCGCTGCCCTTGTCCACTTCGAAGAGCTGTCCGCGGCAGGGCACCCCTTGCCCGACAGTGTCCTCCGACATGTGCCTGCATGCCCGCTGCCCTTGCAAGACTTCCTCCGGTGCTTGCCGGAGTGCACGCCGTGGCTCCGCAGCCGGGCCTTCTGGAAAAACCAACGAGCACCTCCGCAATCCGAGTTTTGTCCTGATGCAGGCGGATGCGTGCCCGGTCCCAGAGCGCGGACGCGAGAGTGTCGTAAAGCGTGCGGACACGATCCCTTGCAGCGACCTGCGCAACGCCGTGTCCGCGCGGCTGAGGATGGCCTGCGGGTTGGGCTGTCGTCCCTTGACGCAATCCGTGGCCGCGTCCTCACGCTCCAGGGAGTTCCCTCCCGCCTGCGCGGCTTCCTCCGTACCGCACTCCGGACTGGCCTGCAGTTGACAAGACGAGCTCCGGGCTCCGGGGCTGGAAGCTCTTCCTTCTCGCCCCACGGATGCTCCTCTACCGAGCCGTTGGGGAAACACGCGTACCACCAGCGGAACTGCAGCGTCGGGGAGAGGTCTTCACACGTGGCGAGTGGCCCCGTCTCCTGCAAGAGGCCGCCGGTGGCGGGGTCGCGCAGACAAGCCACCGTTCGGAGGGGCGTCTTCGGCGTGCCGACTAGACTTTCTTTCGTGGTTGGGGTAAGCACGGGGAGAGTGCGGGTTTTCTGGTGCTCATGATGCCTGTTTGTCTTTTGCATGTTTTGAGAACGCATGATTTGTGAACTTAAACAGTTGAAGTTGAACATCGGAAAATTTTTCTACGAGCTGAGCATGGAATTCATCAGTTGCTTCCGGTCGTACGCATCTCAAGGGTGAGAGAAAAATTTTCTTGAGGCTGCTACAGCTCCCCCGTCATCTGTGTAAGAGGCCCTGGGAGCTAATCACGAGGCTTGTAGCAGCTCATGCGCTTTGGCGCCAATGGACGAGGCCCCATCTGTGCACAACTCTGAGAGCAGCCCCTGGGGGCTGATTCAAAGCTCGGAGGTTCCAAGTATCGGGGGTAGTGCACCTCCTTCGCCTGCTGGTGGGGCTGTACATTTTGGAGACGAGGATAATGAATTGAATTTGTTTATGAATAGCGTCAATGACCTTACTGCTGATGATGAATTTGAAGGCGAACCCGAAGGGGAAGCAGCTTGGTATGGTTCTGTGAGGGAGCAACTACCTGAAATTAGCACTGGTGCAGATGGCCTGTTGCATTTAAACCGTTCTTCTGGAAGCGCGGAGGAGGTCGGGCCACGGCCTCCTTTGGAAGACGGCTCCTTTGCTAGGGTTGCAGCAGCTCATGCTTTCAAGAAGCTTAGGTTGGAGAGGCCAAGACAAGCTTGGGAAATTCATCCGGTTTTTGCAAGGCCTTCAGCGAGATCGGTTGTGAATACTGGATTTTTACTTGCTCCCGCAGTCGGAGTGCGCGAGACTCTGAATCACCCCGAACCACTGGAAACCTTTGGGGGCGAAGAAGCCTCTCAGATTCCTTGGACGATAGAGCGGCGATTGAAGGGTGTGAGGATTCAGCGAAGCGACGAAGATGAGCGAAACCACTCGCTCAAGAAGCTCAAGGCACTGGTGCTTCTTGATCCGCTGGCTACGGCTTTGGGTAAGAGCCTTGTCAGGCAGACGGGGTCTTTGGAAGCCGAGGAGATTATAGCGGCAAGCTTTAGCGACGCTTTTAGCAACAAATCTTCGGGCACCCTTACAAAGAGTCAAAGAGGGCAGGATCGCTGCAAAGGTTGGTAGTGCAATTGTACAAGCAGGACGTCGCGTCTCCATGGCGTATGTCTGAGGCTGACTTGTATGGCGCCCTTACAGTGTTAAGGGAAGAAGGTTGTGGGGCTACGGCTCCATCTCACATACTTGAGAGCTTGCACTTTTTGCATTCGGTAGCTCGATTTTTGCACATGGACCTGGAAGTGGTGATTTCATCTCGATGCAGAGGAGTTGCCCACTCTTGCTACATATCGAAGGCGCCGCTTGTCCAGCGAGACCCTTTGTCTTGTGAACAGGTGGAGAAGCTGGAACAAACCATGGCACGAGCAGGTCCAGTGGTGCAGTGCATTCTGGGTCAGATTCTGTTTTGCATACATGCTGTTTGCCGTTGGAAGGATGCACAGCGCTTGAAGCTTTTAGAGCTCTTGGGAACTGGTGAAAGCCAGATGATTTTTGGGGACGCGTTGGGCAGCAAGACGTCCCTGAACAAGGAGGCCAAGACGAGGTTTACTCCCTATGCGGCTCTGGCTCAGGGGCTTACAGAATGCTCTTGGGGTCGCTTGTGGATTAATGCTCGGAGGGAGTGTGGCTTAAAGTTTGGTGAAGGACCTGACGGTTTTGCACTTCCCACTTGGTCCCTGCGACTTGATCGATGGGGAATCACCCCGATGGGTGCTGCTGAGGCAACCTCTTGGCTTCTTGAGTTTTTGGGGGACAGTGGCACTGGCAAGCAGCTTGTGGGATCTCATTCGCTGAAGGTGACCCTCTTAACCTGGGCTTCCCGATCGACAGTGGTCAAGCTGAGCAAAGCAGAGCGTTTGCTGTTGGGACATCACATCCAACCAGGAGTTAAGAGCATGGTCACATACAGCAGAGAAGCTTACACAAGCTTGATGGGAAAGGTTCTGGCAATCTACCGGTCAATCCGGAGCGGGGCCTTTAATCCTGATCTGGATGCTGCCATGAGGGTTCTTCAGGTTGCCAATGCTCTGATTAGCAGCGAGGGCCGACCCGAGGACGGGAACGCTGGTCAGGACGAGTTCATTGCGGAGCCGATGGACCGAGCAGACGGCGAGTCTGATGGCTCGGCGTCGGATGGCGCGGAGGCTGGGCCGCTAGAGCTTCCGGGACTTCCCGCAGTGAGGGCTCCTTTTGCTGAGGTCGATGTCTCTAGATGCAGGATTCATAATGTTTCGGGTATTGCACACTGCCTGCGAGATGAAGATTATTTTTATTGTGGGCGCATGTGCACCCCGCGCTACTCCAAGTATTCAGGAGTGGGGGCAGATGACCCGGACGTGTGCATACAGTGCTCACGAGTCATGAATGAGTGAGCTGGAGGTGACAGAAACAATACAGCGCGAAGCCCTGGAGGTCTGGGAGCGGCCTCCGGAAGATGGGCTGATGATATATGCATCGGGTGTTTGCGGATTTCCATCAATCCCTGAGCACCATGGAAGGGGGTGCTCGAGAGAGGGGAGACGAGGCTTTGTCGGGGCAAAGTTCAACTCAAGTTTGGACGTGTGCTGCTGGCAAGTTGTGTGAAGAGAGAGGCTGCAACAGGGCATTACACTACATATGAGGGTCCACCAATGGCCGTTTTGCTGGGTTTTTGCTCATTTGGACCCTACTGTAGACCCTGCCAAAGGGGAAATTGTATTTTCCTCTTAGGCAGGGTATACAGTCTCTTCTAGGCAGGGTCTACAGTCTTTGGCAGACGACCCGGTGGCCATTCATAGCACTACATGTAGCCATGAGAATGCGCGCTGCAGATGAGTTGTGTAAATTGCTGGAGTGCATTTTTCCCTGTGCACCTTCGAAGGAAGGTGTACGAGAGAGGGGAGCAGGAAACAGATCATGATTGCACTTGCGCTGCACTTGAAGAGTCTTGGTCTGGCTCCAGCTGAGTTCCGAAGCCGGTTGCAAGAAATGAGATTGCAAGAGACCGGCTTGTCATCACATGAAACTGAAGGCGTCTGCAGCGAGACGCCTAAATATGAGGGATGAGGACTTATATTGTTGTCTGAGTTAAGGGAACTTAATTATTTAGAGTTGTGAATTCTAATGGCATCGGCAAATTTGGATTCTGAAGCCGCCTTTGTGGACCGGGCCAGGAAAATTGGCCTGACCGAGGACACATTGCAAGGACTTTTGGACAACAGCTACAACACCTTTGGGCGGCTGGCGTTTGCCGTGTCGGCTACTCCAACGACTTTGACTGATGAGGCAGTGGATGCTTGGATTGATGGTTTGGGCATGCGACCTTCAGGGTTTCAGAAGGCGAGCCTCCGTAGGCTCCTTTTCGAAGGAGTCAGCATGGCGATCGAGGAGGTCCGTGCCCGTGTTGAACCCAGTTTGGAAGGACACCCGAAAAAGTTAGCTGCGGCTGAACGCTTGGATCGCCAGGCGAAGCAGGAGAGGTCGCTTGGGGGTTTGGTCTTCACTCCTGAGACTAGGCCTGCTAATGCTTGCGTGGACCTCTGCGTTGAGATGCTTGAAACTGGAGTTCTTCAGTACCATGTTCCCAGCAAGTGGATAAGCCGTGCACAGGAAGCGCAGTGCCTTAAGCGTGACAACAGCATCAACATAGATGCCGATAACAACTTGAAGATTGCCACAAAGTCTGCAGATCTCTGGTGCGATGTGTCATCAGAGATGCGATTGAGGCAAGCTTGGGGCCGAAGGTCGTTAGCCTTCGATCTTGCAAATTTGGCAAGTTTCAGGGAAATGGAGGAGCACGTTCAGTTCTTGTTCTCTGTGCTGCAGCGTGTGCAGCCCAAGGGATTCCAGGGTGTCCAATTGTCACAAATCATTGAGGCCGACAAGCAAATGTTCATTCTTGCGAGCAACAATTTGATGGGGCGTTTGACGGCCTCTCCAGGAGCTGCGCCGGCATTAGATGCCGAGATCAGTAGGCTGTCCCGCAGCCCTGAGTTGATGCAGTATCTTGCTCCCTTGCAGGTGCCACAGGTTCCAAACATCCCCCACAAGCCTTGGAAGGGGGACCCTAAGGGTGATGGTAAGAATAGGAAGGGTACTAAGGGAGACAAGGGAAATTCAAAGGGCGGCAAAGGCACACTTGACCTTCCGGAAGGGTGTGTCACGAAGGACGACAGCAACAAGCCGCTGTGTTTTGCATTTAACACTCATGGGTGTAAGAATGCTTGTAAGAATGGACGTTGCATTAAGGGCTATCACAAGTGTTGGAGGAAGGGTTGCTTTGGAAGCCACTCTTTCAACAACTGTCCCAAAGGTGGAGCCTGAAGGTCCCTTCCAGAGACTTTGCCCGCCTTTGGAGGGGAGGATGAGGGCACGCGACAAACAGGCGACCTGTCTGCTTGTAATCCTGAGAGTTGGGCTCAGGCTCGTTTGAAGAAGCCGGAGCCAATTGCCAATGATGATCTTTTGACTTTAGTTGGCTTGTTGCCTCACAAGGGCATTCAACGAGGGCCGAGGGAGGTGCAGCAATCGTTCATCACAGGATGCTATGCTCAGGGGGGCTTTCGTGGCTTGCGCCATGAGTGCTCCACTTTTCCTTTTGCATGCCGTATCATGACCCGCTACATTAGAGAGCGTCTTCCAGGTCATGTTTTCTCCACATGTGGCATTTTCATTGACGGCTGTACGCCGTTACATAAAGACACGCGAAACGCGCAGTGGCCGAATGCAATTTTCCGATTGAGCGACTTCCAGAACGGAGGTTTGTGGATTGAGGGGTCAGGTGATGATGTTCGCGAGCTGAACGGACAAGAGCTGACAGGACAGGTTCATGAGATTGGCATGAACCCTCTGCTTTTCGATGCTTGGTCCCGTTATCATGAGACAGAGCCTTGGACAGGCAGTAGGGTGATTTTGGTGACATGGGTCGTTCAGCAGCTGGAATCTTTGAATCCTGATCAGATTTCTTTGGCAAATGAACTCGGGTTTCAGTTGCCACCCAGTGTGCCTCAGCCTTTGCAGACATCTCAGCTTGGAGCCAGGCAACCCTTTGTGTTTGAAGTGTTCGCTGGCAAGGGTTCCTTGTCCAGGGCTTTGCGCCACACAGGATTTCAGGTTCACAGCTTTGATCACCATCATTGCGACTCGACTGTGCCTCTTTTGCAGCTGGACTTGTCATCAACTTCGGGCCAAGCCTTGTTCTGGGACTTCTTTCAGAAACACAAACCCTTTGCAGTCCACTTGGGCGCCCCTTGTGGCACAAGCAGTAAGGCTCGGGGTCGTCCGTTGCGCAATGGGGCTCCAGGTCCAAAACCCCTTAGGAGTAAGCCTTTTCCCTTAGGACTGCCCTCAATCGTCCCAGGCTCGGTTGATGCATTGCGTCTTGAGGCTGCGAACCAGTTGCATGCATTGACCTACCGCATTTGGCGGAAATGCATTGAAGATGATGTCGTCGTGAGTCTTGAAAATCCTGTCAACAGCTATCTCTGGGACATTTTGCGAGCCTATGAGCCAGCCGAGCCCAAGCTTCATGTCCTTCCAAAGCTCACGCGTGTGATATTCGACCTATGTTGTCATGGCGGTGCGCGCCCCAAACGCACTCAACTGTTGTGCACTGCCGCTTGCTTTGATCGATTGCATGCTTTGTGCCAGAATGACCATCCCCATAAGCCTTGGGGTCAGATTGTTGAGTGCGGAACAGTGCGATATGCCACCAAAGATGAGGCGGCCTACCCTCAATTGTTCGCTGCTCGCTATGCCGCCTGTTTGGCCGATCATGCCTTGGCTGCAGGTTACAGCTTGACACCCCAGCCACGTGTCAAAGATTTGTCGCTGGCCATGCTCGGCCGGCAAACCAAGCGCCATGCACCTTTGGTTTCTGAGTACAAACAAGTCTTGCACATGCCAGCCGCTTCTTTCACTCAGCAGCCACACTTGAAGCTCTTGCGCAATCCCATCGGGGGTGGCAACGTGCGAGCTTCTGATTTGGCTAGGGCCCAACCTTTGGTGAGTAACACCCCTACGGGAGGGACCATCCCGGAGGCCCCAGGTAAGGGTGACGTTGAGTGTAAGGTGGGAGTCTATAGGACGCCAGGTGAGTTTGTTGAGGAGGCCAAGAAAGTGAACCACCCAGTAGATTCTTCAAACCCGTTAGAAAAGGTTACTTTGCAAGCGCTGCAGGAAAATCTTTTGAAGGATCCCAAACTCATTTCCTTAAGGCGCAACTTGGCGATTGCGAAGGTGAAACAGGAGATCCACAGATTGCGTGATGCAGAAGAGAAGCTTCACAATTCTATGGACCCGTCAGTTGCTAAGGTGATGAAGGGCAAGTCGATCCTTGCCTTTGAAGCTTTGTTGAAGTCTGAGGGTTACGATGACATGGGTGTGATTTCTTTCTTGAAGGAGGGAGTGCGCTTGGTAGGAACATCGGAGTGCCCAGCTTGTTACGACTACAAGTTTGTTCCGGCCTGGCTCTCGGAAGACGAGCTGTTCGAAACTGCAGCTGCCCGCAGGGATGCATTGCTAAGCAAGTTTGAAAGGGTTGACCCTGAAGAGGCCAAAATCTTGAAGGATGCAACCGACAACGAAGTCGCCTTGGGTTTCTTAGAGGGTCCTTACTACGAAAAATCCGAGGTTTCTAGTCGGTTGAAAACTGAGAGGTGGACGATCATTCGCCGCTTTGTTTTACTTCAAGGTGCAGACCAAAAGCCTCGCCCCATCGACAACTGCTTGGAGTCGCAGCTCAACGCGGGGTACAGTGCGAGCATTCATCTTAGACTTCAAGACTCGGATTACATAGCTTCAATGGCCCCAAAGAGATCCAAGGTGGGCGAGTCCACCCAGCTGCCAAGCTGTGGAAGGGAAAGTGCTTGGACTTGAGCAAGGCTTACAAGCAGCTGGCGGTGCACCCTGACCATAGATCGCTGGCAGCAATTGCAGTCCGCGAATCCGAAGGGCGCGATGCGCTCTACTTGTCAAACTCCCTAATGTTTGGCAGCACGGCCGCAGTTTACGCCTTTAACCGGGTTTCCCGGGCACTTTGGTACTTGGTAAACCGTCTTTTGTGTCTGCCTAGTGGCGTCTTCTACGACGACTTCCCGCTGCTGTGCCCGGCGGGCAGTGCCAACAACGCCGATGAATCGGCCAGTGCCCTGCTGGACTTGTTGGGTTGGGCACATGCCAAGACAGGTGCAAAGGGCAGACCTTTTGCTGAGCAGTTTGAGGTTTTGGGCATGAGCCTAAACTTGGAGAGCGTTTCGCAGGGCGAGGTTTCCTTGTCCAACAAACAGGGTAGGATTGAACGCATCATTGACCGCCTTCAAGAGATCAGCTTGAAAGGGGAGATCAAGAGACACGATGCGCAAGTGCTCCAAGGGTTGCTTCAGTATGCATCGGGGTTCTACGCTGGACGATCCCTGAAGCACGCTTCGCACATCCTTGCGAGGGTCGTAGGCGGTCTTCATTTTAGCCCTTGGGACTTGAGTGATTTCTGCAAGCATACAGTCAGTCTCTTGAGGCACGAGAACCCCCGAGTATTGTCTTGCGCCATGATCACGGACATAATTCACTTGTTCACTGATGGCGCTTGGGAAGGAGGGGTGGCGGGCATAGGTCTCGCTGCCCACGATTGCTTCTCCGGCTCTGGATGGGTCTATCAAGGCCATGTGCCAGACTCGTTGCTGGCCGCTTGGACAGCTGAGATAGGGGAGCAGCTAATAT